ATTGTGGGGAATGTTGGAGAGCTGTCATGTTGCTGTCATGTTAAAGTTATATTAAAGTTTTTCTTCATTACCCATTTAAGCCGTCTCCAGCCATTATTACTTTATATATGATATTTACAACATAATAACATTCAGTACATGATTAACTAGACACAATGTAAAAAAAAGTTTGTTAGTTTTTCTGAAGATGTTACTTGTTATCTGGATGATGGAAAGACCAGACTTTGGGGGAAAGTAAGGGTACATGCTAGATTTGGAAACAATGGCTTTCAATTATAATATTGTGATTATATAATTTCACTTTTTTTCTGTTGCCAGTGAATATGGTTCCGACCATATTGTGTTATGTATTGTCAAGTATATCTTATTACTCTTAAATGCATTTCTAAACTCCTCTATTAAATAAACCACATAGTGATAACGTTTTAAAGTTCTTGTCATCATTTCTTAAGAACAGTATAATAAAACTGAATCGACTATGTACAAACTATAAGCTAGATTTCATAAACTTATTTATATTTTTATTAATGATTCGTTGTTAGTCTCTTAGCAAAAGGTTCTCTGATTCAGTGTCACAAGTGCAAGGGTTTCCACATGGTAGCAGCACTGTGTCAGTATGGGACATCGAGAATGGCTTCAGTGACGTAACTTTACGACATCCTCAAAGAGTTGTACAGCCAGAAAACAAGCCACCAGCTCGGTTAAGCAAGCTTTTCAAATGGATTCCAATAAACCCTAAGGTAAGACTCAAGTATTGTACATGATACGTTGTCATAGCTTCAAGTTAAACAAACATTTTAGTACTGGCTTTCTGAGGTTTATAAAGATAGATTCCAAGCAGTGGAACTGAAAGTCATCATGATTTATACCAAAACACTTACTATAAGTGATGGTATCTATTACATTTAGTCAAAACAAGGTTGGCAATGCTACGCGGATCGGAGCTCTATCTTGATAGTATTCACTGATACGACTATAGAGCTTTCTATCCGTGGAATTCATTGTTTGTTTGGTTTGAATTTCGCGCAAAGCTATACGAGGGCTATCTGGGCTAGCCGTCCCTAATTTAGCAGTGAAAACTAGAAGGAAAGTAGTTAGTCATCACCACCCACCGCCAACCCTTGGGCTACCCTTTTACCAGCGAATAGTGGGACTGACCGTAAAATTATATCGACCCCGCGGTTGAAAGGGTGAGCATGTTTGGTGTGATGGGGATTCTAACCCGCGACTCTCAGCTTGCGAGTCAAGTGCCCTAACCACCTGGCTATGCCGGGCCATGGAATTAATACACCCCTGATTAGACTTCGAACTCTTGAATAATTTTAGGCTTAAGAAAAGTGGACTTATACAGAATTCGGTGTGTGAGATTAGAATTATTTTATATTATTTTAGACATACTGTATTTAAAGAAGAATTATCGCAAAGAAGATACTAATTTCACAGAAAATGTTTTCCAAGTCTCTGCTAGTTGACTATTATCCATTGGTTACAAAAGTTTGATTTTTAGGTTTAAAGTCAATATCAATATATTATATACTAATAAATATCAAGGTGAGTGCATGCTTAAAAGCGTTTTTCTCAGTATTTGAATTTTTTACTGAAAAACCGCTATGATTCACAGCTGTTGGATGATGTTTTTCTATTCTTTATTTATAAATACAGTAATAAGTCCACCAATGAAATGTATATCTAATTTAGTGACGAACAAGAACATTCTGTTAATTGTGTAATATCAAACATTACATTGTCCGGGCCAAGTACTGCACGTGAAAACAACTAATTGGAAAGGAACTTTGTTCCTAATCTCTGCCTGTTTATGTAGACATTTCAATAAACAAGCAGTTTTATCTTATAATACGATTACAGATCTTTTTTCCAATAGAATCAAAACTGATTATTGAAATTAATATCGATTAATGGGCGTGATATCTTAAATGAAAAAAATATACTTTACATTATAACAGTTCATTATACACAACACACTATGATTGAACAGTTCCATAGTAACGTTTCCTTATTAGTTATTTCAAACATTTATCATTACTTATAGCAAAATATCTGAGTGTTTTTCATCCTTAAGAGTAACAAATGTTTTTATTTCATGCTTTTGAAGTTCATATGTCATGTTGTGTTGTAGCCTACACTTGTGACCTGGACTTTTTCTTCCATCCCCAGACACTTGGACATTACAGTTTGTGATGTTACGAGTGACTGACCTGATTAGCATCAGTAGTATCGACCTTGATAGGATCAGCCAGGTCAGTCAGTGTAGGAGGAATTGCTTCAATAGATTTTTCGTCTTTTGTGTGATCCTTACTTGTTAAAATGGTATTTGTGAGGTCATACAGAAGCTGAATAAATCTCTCAATCAATGACAAACAATTTTCAGAGCGACTGTGCTAATAATGACAACTGGAAAAGACTTTTAGACTGTTTTCTTACCATTGTCGTTAAAAGATGTTTTAGAAAGAAAAACCTCAAGCGTAAAGTAGTTAAAGTTTTGGATTTGACAGGATAAAATTATAAACCTCGTAGTTCCAATGAATATTAGCTGTACTCAGGTTTTACTACAGATGTGGTAAATACTCCTAGTTTGTAGAAAATTTGGTTCTAGACCAAAGATATCAGGTAAGTTATGTAAGTCTTTAAGAAAAATGCTTTTTTGTTCTATTTTACCAGTAAAGATAATAATACTATCAAATGTATTACTAGTTATATATTCCTGGAGTTAACAGTCAATAGTTCAATGAAAAGTTGCCCCCCAGTAGCTCAGGGTTAAGTCTGATGGCTTTTAACAATAAAAAATGGGTTTCAATACCCATGGTTGGCACACACAGATAGCCCATTGTGTAGCTTTGTGCTTAACAACAAGGAAATAAACAATGTAAAGGTACTAACCAGTATACCTCATTCTAAGCTTAGCCTACTTTTAATTATATTTTGTCATAACTGACTATTATTTCCATATATATATATATGTGTGTGTGTGTGTGTATATGTTGCATATGTTGTGTTAAAGTGATTTTGAATATACAAATCAGCAAGTAACGTGACAACCACAGCCGATAAATGTCGCGGTGGAACGGAATGTATCAAAGCTACAATCTGACATTGTTTGGCGTTTGTATGTAATGTGATGCCACCAAAAGTAATCGTTTTTGAGAGTGGTATGTAACAGCCTTTTCGTAAGCAAAATAGCCACACACGCAGATTATAAAGCTGTGTTCATATCATGGATTTAGAATTTCCAAGACGGGGACATCCTTTGTACTTGATGCCTTTGGAAAGTAAATGAATGTGGGTTTACTTGAAGAACCAGGGTCATCCGGAAAGAACCTGCAATAAGTCATACCTCAGCCGCGGTAAGCAAAATCCAGCGTCTTGGAACAGGCTAGAATCCACTGTTTATATGCCAGACAGCAAACAGTATGCAAAGGAATCAAGAAGGATCTCCTGTTTAGAAAAATTTAACCTCATCAAGATGAATATATATACGTTTGTATAAGAATGTATTTCAGTATCATGATGACTTTCATGAAATATACTTCACTTTTCAGTAGGATTAAACACTACAAATTTTACTTTAATTTTTATGTAAACCAAAAGTATAAGATATTTGAAGAAATAAGACCGTTATCTACAAAGTTCTAATAAAATAATGAAAGATGTAACAAAAGGTAACTAAAGATTTGTGACGCCAAGAATGGCCGAGGAGAAAGCCCATTGTACAGCTTTGCTCTCAAAACAGACCTCCAACACAAGGAAATCACAATAATTTTACAAAAATACAGAAGAAGAAAAAATAGAAAATACGAAACATTTTTACTGAAAGGTTTGAAAAGAACAGATTAATTCAGTTTATTTTCCAATTATTTAACCATGAGCTTTCCAGGCTCGAATTTCTCGCATGCACGTGTAATAGAATGGGATTATTTTTTGCCAGTTGGGTATTTCTTTGAATGTGAAAAAAAGTTTAGAGAATAATATTTTTGGCGCGATCAAAAATCTTATTAAGCTATCCTAGCAATGAAAAAAATTTAATACTGAATTTTTATTTTATAAATCTAAAACAGGAAAATTATGCTAAATTCATTTATTTCAAATATATATTTAAAATTGTGTATACCGTTTTAAATTATTAAAATTTCAACATTTGACATGCTATTGGCAGTTTCTATAAGTAGCCACTATACATGTTAGTATTTTGTATAAATTATTCA